TAGAATCCAGTTCATTGTTTGGAATAAAAATAATCAGGAGCCCGTATAATAATAGAACCTGTTCTGCGAGGCTGCTTGAGAAGAAGGAGGATAACAGCTCAAGTGCAAATGCTGTAGGCGATCTTTTGATCGTGGGTATCTTTACCAAGACTCTTGCCTTTCGGACTATTAAACTTGATTCACGATGCGCTTTTTTTCCCTAGATAAATAACGATAAAGTAAAAGACCTGAGCGCCTCCGATTTGCAATGGAGCTCTGCTAGGCAGAAAACAGCAAACCCGATGGATAGAGTCAATTACCGACTGTCCAGTAGCAAGTGAACTCTTATTTTCTACTTAATTTTCCCAGATTCCGTGGAAAACAAGGCCAAGGATTCGCCTGTTCCATCGCAACCGGCGCTTTGCACAACCGCTGACGCAAACTTTCAAAGGGATGCAGCTGACAATCGGAATGGAATACTAAGCAGTCAGCCATCTGCAGCCTTCGTCGCTACTCGAGAACGTCTCGAAAGCCTGGAACGAGAGTCAAAAGAGCTAGAAAAGGCCTACACCGAATGGCGGAACTGCGGTACTTACACGAAAGTGGGGAGCGCTGCTCCGTCAGCTAAACCATCACAGCATGCCAAATTAAGCAACAGTTTGTCGGCCGCCTTTTTCACCGGTTTAAAATCCACTAGTATTCCAACTTTGAGACCCTTTACTACACAGTGGCCTCTTCCGTATGTGGTAAGTGTTCCTTTCCTTTGAAAATACTTTTATTCCTTTCTGCTTATGTGCTTTTATGGCAGTCCTTTAAGCGGAAAGCACATGTGTACTGTGACGCAGATTTTCTATCGGTTGAGCACGCGTTTCTTTACGTCTCATAGCCCCTCTAAAGATCGCAAACTCCGACGCAGACACATTCCTCTGCATAGCCCCTTGTACTTATTACGGCTGTAATCAGGACCAACCTAGCAGGCCTCGGTGATGTTCCAGATAGTATTTCTCCACACGTGACGATCTGTGGCAGCAGACCTGGGCAGTTAACTCCATTCTCCTCGCCAACGCCAACGCCCGAGGCCGAATACCGAAGGTCCAAGAACCACTTCCATGTCCTGACGAAATGAGTCGAGTCAGGTTTTTTAGCTGACCTCCTCTTTGAAGTCTCCAATTGAGTAACGGTGTCGATTCGACGGCAGTAACACTGAGCTCGTAAGGGTAACGACGAAGTCGTCTTTCTTGGATGGCCTGCGATCTCCTCGCGATACTGTTGCAGCGAGCGCGAAATGTCTCATTTGAGACCTAATCCTCAAGCAGAAATGATTAAACAGCTCCAGTTGCCTTTCATCTTCCGCGCTCATAGCCCAACACTCACAGTCGTGAAGAAGGACAAACCGAACGGATGCACCGTAAAAGCGAACCTTTCGTGACGATAAAATTATCACGTTGGGTCCATAGGCACTTTCTAAGGCTTAAGAAAACCCTGATAAATTCATGGATTCGTGAAAGAATGCCATCCTTATTCTGTACATTCGGCAGCAATCTCACTCCTGGGAAGCTAATAAGGCGATATCGTCGGCTTAGTCGAGCTGAGTCAACGGGTGTCCGGGTGCAAGCTCACAGCTATCCTCTTCAAGTATGACCTTTCCGTGAATTCAGTCAATGCCGTAGTTGAGTGGAATAGACGACAGGATACAGCCTTGTCGACAGTCAAACCGAATAGCAAACGGTTCTGGAAGGTTTTTATGGACCAGAACCCGTGAAGTGGTGGAACGGTAGTATGCCTTGACACTTCCTTTGCAATATTTAGATATCATCAAGGCAAGAATTGTAAGGTCTACTTGTCGCTTCGCGTAAACTTAGTGGAATAGTTGTCTGCCACTTCAAAGGCTACATCAAAAGTGCAATGTGTCGGAAGCGGTGCGATTAAAAAGGGCTCACTCGCAGGCCATCAAAGAGTCACGTTATTTACTATTTAACAACTGAGCTGAATAGGTGATTTTTACTGCAACACTTCGTTGGATATGTTTCTTCTTACTGGTTTTGATTTTGGAGTTTACCTTATTCAAGTTATGGTACACCGTCATTATAAATAGGATTCTGCCGTCATGATATGGTGACCTTGTGTCTCACAAGGCTTAACCTGATGCCTTCGATCAGGGTGCTAGAGAATGTTGACTGGCGGTTCTCTCGCATCCGTCCCTTTTCTGTTGGTACGATCAAAGACCTCTTTTCTGTATTCCTCTCACTAGCGCTCCCTAAACAGTGTCGTGGACGCAGCTCGTGAGCCTCTGCCAAAGACGATTCTTGAGACCGGCCACTCGTCATCAAACCTCCCTAATCTACGCGATTATGCAACAGTGAGGTTAGTTTGACTACTAGAATTTAATACGATAAGCACCTACCTGTCCTCGCACCTTTGACCGAGTTATTCGAGATAAGAAATTGTTCAGAAAATCACATGTCAGCTTCTGTCTTTTTACTCGGTCATACATCCATCCCACCTGGCCCTAATTAGCAGCTGCCAAATTCTACTTTTTTCTTGAATTGTTGCAAAAATGTTCGCCCACGTTCTGCATTAGGTTATTCGGAAAAGTTTCCTTTGGAGTATGAACTATGCGAACTTTGCAGTGGTAGGTTTAATGAAACACCGATACTACAGCTGTCAGGACCTCTGTCGATGTCCAAGGCGGAGCGGAACAGATGAGTTACGTTAGTGGTCGGTGAACGTTCATCAACGAGTGTCAATATTCCCCGATCTAGACCGGCAAGAAAACGAGCTCGAGGCTCGATGTTTAGAACGTCAGACACTGATCAAAAGGTCGCGAGTTCGAGCCCCGAGTGGTAAACAACTTCGGTCTGGGTATGACTGGCTGACGAGGACTAATAAGCCAGAAATGGCCATTTCAGTAGCCCTTGTCTTTGCCGGCAATACCATCTGCCCATACTACCAGCTACTACGGCTGTCAGCACCTCTGTCGTGGCCCAAGGTAAAGCACGAAAGGTGAAATCCGTTAGCGGTCGGTGAAGGTTCATCAACGCGTACTCATTGTTGTTGGAAATAGTTGTTGGGAATCCAAACTGCATTCAAGTATGGTATACTTGGCAAGGAGTTTGGGTGGACAGGGCGTTTAAATCTGAATCAAGCAGCAGAGAAACAAACTATAGTCTGGGTGGCAAATCAAAGCCGTATACATATGGTTAGGAGCAGCGATACAGGCAATATTCCTTTCTCGGCGTCTATATAACCTTTTACATGTTTATAACAGAATTTAGAATGTCTACGTCCGAGCAGTGCGACTACCAAATCACTAACATACGTAAGAGGGTTTCGACAGAAATGAATAGTACATTTGATCCCATAGATTGTTCACGATAGGGCCAACTGAATTATCCAAAGCTGCCC